AAAAAGAAGAATGCATATACGAATCTGTTAAAAATATATAAATATTCATTTATTTTTGAGTTTGAAATAGGGTTATCTCAATTTGTTAGACATGAAATATTATATAGGTCAGGAGCCGAACTCAGCCGATGATTACAGTGGACTAGTCGCGCGTGGTGATGCGAGAAACAAATTGTGCCCATAGTTATTGTGGAATAGAGTACAGTAGGAAAAATGCCAATCTAGAGACCTCGTTTAAGTTGAGAAGTTGTAATGAACAAATACTTAGAATCACTGAACAGCTGATAAGGAAAATTTTAGGATTAGTTGTGTGATGGTATTATGGTCTTATGGCAGATAGACAATTAGAAGTAGAAGAATTAGGTATCCATAGTATAAGCATTTTAATAACTGAGAAACTAATCGTTCAAATTTTGAATTTATCTCTAAATATTGTGCTGTAAAAAAAAAGGGTTCTCATTTCACAAATAAATGGTTGATCAGTTCATATCATGTTCTTAAGTAATAAAAAAAATCTCAGTTTTAAATTTAATATTTTTAAGTATATTATTTAAAAAAAAAACCCCAAAATTTGAATAAATAAATTATTAAGGGAAAAATGGAAATGTAAAATGTTCATACAGGTAAATTTGGCTCAAATAGGCTGTCGGAAAAAAAACATAACTTTTTTTATTTTTACGCAAATAGTTTGTACACAATACGAATACATTTTTTTTTGTCGCAAACGGGTAATTCTCAGTAAATCATCCTGTATAATAAATATTTATATAAATTTCATAAACTGTCAGCTTAAGTTTATTTGTATTGTACAACGTTAAAAATAAATTTATGATTTTAAAATATCAATAAGGTACTTGAAGTTTTAATCATAAAACAATTGGTTTAACAATTGAGTAAAAAAAAATACTGATGAGAAATTTGAAGTAACTAATTTTTAAAATGCACAAATTAGAGTAGTATTTATATTCATTCAACCAAATATTTAGCACGATCACGTATTCAAATTATACATATAAAACAATAAAATACAATTTATTTTTAATACAGTTAACTTTTAACGCAATATGATTTTAATGTACCAACTGTAAAAGCCTCTACCTACTTAAAGTTATTATCTTTTTATTTCATTGTATTAAATATAAAATATTTTACTTTTAAAAAAACCATAAGTAGGTGTAGTTGAATTATAAGACATGAAAAACTGATAAATGCTTTCAGAAAAACATTACAAAGATTGACTTGTTGTGCAATAAAGGTAGGTAGGTAATTGAGTTAATTATAAAACAAAAGATAAATATTTCAAACCAATTAAACTTTAGACGCTAAACAAGTAAGCCAGGAAACTTAAAATGTATGTAATTAATTTTAATAAATTGTTTACGTTTCTTTATTTAATTTATTTTAATAAGAACACAAAAAAAGAGTTGATTAACCGGCTGTTAAACCAAAAAAAAATATGAAATTTATCAAAACTACTTAATTTTAATATTTTTAGTTTTGCATTATATTGGTACCTATGATAAAGATATACCTATAATAATTAAAATGCAAGTGAGTTTAACCTTTGGATTTTACGTTATTCAATGTCCTATTACAATATATTTTGTATTCCTTCGAACGTTTTGTAGTTTCTTTATTTAATAACAATAAATTTATAATTCACAATACTTATAATCGTCTATAGTTGTTATAAAATCGACTAAATGTATTTGCATATATTTTTGGATTATCAAAAACGATGCTTCCATGTTGCAAATTCCATAATATTTACAATTAAAAACAAATAATCTCGTTTATTGCTATTCAAGTATTTTTTTTTTTTTTTATTATATTATTTTCAGCTTAAATATATCACATTTAATACATTGAAAATGTGGAACTTTTGTTATTATTGACCAAAATATCGTTATAAAAGCTTCAAATTCCACTGGAAAATGTTTGGCCATTAAATGTCAAAACTATCTCGAAAACATATCGACTTTATTTAGACGAAAAATAACTTTAGCGAACAGAATGATAATATTTATTATTACATTCTATTCTTATAAAACTGACATTTCTAAGAGAAGATTATATGCGCTCTTCTCGATTCTCCTCTGACATTGTTGTTCGTTCGTATGGCATTCTAAAAAATCACAATAAATGCTACATTTCGTGCATTATTCAAATGTACCTACCTAAAATTCTTTGAAATCTATGCTAGTTATGCGAAATCAACTGCGCCGTGGTCCTTTGTCTATATGATATTAAAGACAATTATTTCTTTATGGAATTTGAATTATCAAAATCCGCATAAGCTTTGATGTTTAAATCGTCTCTGTTGATAATTATTTAAATTTAAACCTATCCGTGCGTTTGTTATATTTTGATCATTACAGTTTTCATATTGGTACCTAATCAAAATAATGATAGTATACATTTAATTAACATCAAACAAATTATTATTAATATTCATGCCATTAACTACTCATTATAAAGCGTGTCTGTAATTTATAATATACGGAACATTATTACCGTTAAATATTGTAATAAATATAATATATTATGTATAATTTTTACATAAGCTCCATATATAAGAAGTTTTTTTAATAGATGGAAGAAAAGGACGATCACGTCTGTACTGAATATTATTATAAATGTTTTACTCCGTCACAGATGATTTTTCTTGTTCAACACTTTCAAAAAAAAAAAAAGTCATCCGAAATGTTTATAATTTGTTTCGTATGATAATATATTGAAAAAAAGCACTTATTCTTACTTTTTTTTCAAACTTTATAATTTGGTATTTCACATTAATTGCATTATAAGCTACATTGCAAAAATACTTTTTGAAAATATCTTACATATTTCATTAACAAACTATGTACCTATTTTAGATATATTACGCAAAATGTCATTATTAAAAGAAAAAAAATATTAGTTGGATGATACATAATTTAAAAATATATGCTGGATAAGAAATATGATATATTATACTCATTCAAATATAATATTTTAAATGGGTAAAAAAAGCTGTTAGTGTACCTATTAATTTTAAAATGAAAATATAAAACTGAAAAATAGTTCTCAAGTTTAAAAAATTTTCTGTATACTAATATTATAAAAATCTATATAAAATATGTAAAATAATATATATGTTGAGAAATATTATATTATCTTGAAATAATTTTGTAGCTTCCTCTATCTAAACTTACCACAAATATTCGAAACCATTAAGTTTCATGCTCTAATAATTATGAACAATAAAAGTTTGAACTTGGGAATATTCAAAATTTCAAATAATTTGAATACCCATAGTCTTAATAATCTGAACAATCGGATATCCTGATTTATAAATCCAGATAAACTGAATAAATTGTATAAAAATTAAATATTGTTGAAGTATCACACTAGTCTTAACCACAGTCCATACAAGTAATAAATAATGAAAAACCGCATATTGGATTTCATATAAGCTTTTACAGACATAAATAATGATTTTACTACAATACTGGACGTTTCAATAAAGGAGCATAAATGTATTATTGACTTAAGTTTTCTAGACTGTCAAATACCTGACGTAAGAATATTGGTTATGATTTGTGACTTCCTTTGCTACGAAGCGTCCAATATATTTCTTATTTAAAACCGTTCGTGATTTTTCATCCTTTCTATTTAAACAAAAAAATATATAGATTTATTTAAATGACATGTTTCAAAACTAAACCGTAAATGCTTGCCCATAGGTAGGTAGGCATAACGTTTCTAACTTCGGTAAAAATTATAATATTACACATTGGATAATAATATAATGATTGGAATATGTGTCACACAATTTAAACAAGTTTCAGTAGTTTGATAACTCCCGTAGTTTCTTGTTCAAAGTGTGCTATGAACAGTTGTATTTGTTTAGAATAAAAATATTATGTATCTTATACTCGGTTTTAAGGACAATGAAAATTCACAAATACAAAGAATGGTTAAAAATACAAAATCAATATTGGCGGACTTTTAGTGATTATTTTTCCACGTAACAATTAATCATACGACGAATTAAATTATGAATTTGTTACCTTCAATTAACTAAATAATATTACTAAACTTATAGAATGTGTGATATGTAATGGACATTATTTGTTATTAAAACTAAGGATTTATAAAGTATTGTTTAATTCTAAATTAATATTAGAGAATATATTATGAATCTACTCTTTTTTTATTCTTTTAATTTTTTATCTTAAAATAATAAGACCTTAGTTAAAATGTTGTAATACGCGAATACATGAATACATGATATTTGAGAAAAATAAATCAGACGCAATTTATATATAACGGCAAGTAATGTGTATATAATATAATTATGATTGTGGACTATAATTTCAATGAGCGGAAAATACTTCGTTTGATCCTTTTTAAATATTTGTACGAGAAATCATAAATAAATACCTTTTATCTATTTAGTATTAAATTATAAATAATCGGTTAGTCAGGTGGCTTTCTGTTTTTTTTTTCATTTTACTTTTTGTACACTATAACCATAAGTTATATAACACACGCGTTACTATAGGTATTATTGAATTATGTGAGAAGAGTTCCTATATACTTCTATAATTATTGTAAACTGTGCATATTTTTTTCCATTCATATTGATAAGAATTAATAGAGTAAATTAATCAATTACATGTTGACAGTGCCACCAAACATAGTGGACGATGAAAGTTCCACTTCATCTGTAGCTGTGAGAGAAGGCCTCAATATATCACTTACGTGCAAAGCAAAAGGTAATCCAGAACCAAGGATTGTGTGGAAAAGAGAAAATGGATTCAATATAACAGTGGACAGAAGGAAAAAAGGTAAGAAAAAAAACAATGCACGTGCTTAGATAATATGATTTTCACGATTTAAAAGTTGACTTCTGTAAATAAAAACTATTATTTATTGAATATTTACACATCGTTAATTTGTATTAATTATTTATTTATATTTATTATTTGACTCCGCCATTGTTTGATCGAATTCGTCTAAAAGGTTTCTGTTGTTGACACTTTGCCTCCTCGCATATTGCCTACACACAAAGTTAACACATAGTTAAATATAGTATGAGGGTGAGTTTAATAGGTAATTAATTAAATATTATAATATAGGATGATCCATTTACAATTGTAAGGCACTCATTATTTTAAAAACAATTGGGTTTTTTAACAATATTTTTTTTCTCTATTTTATTCGTTAATATTTATACATAAGTTTAATATTTTTTTAACGATAACATGATTGTTTAATTCCATATTTTAAAGCAGATTATTTGTTGAAGTAGGTACTTTGATATTTACATAAATTTGTATAATTTTGGACGATTAGTATATGAGTTATGAGTAGATATATTTTATATTTCTGATAAACGGAGTGGAGTGGTACAGAGATTCCACTTGGTCCACTACTCCACTAATATAAACTTTTAATAATGTAACTAATAAACTACTTTCTGAAATTTGATTTTTTAAGATCGACATTTGAAACAGCTACTAGCACACCCTTTTTAAGATAATATTGTATTATCATAATATCTATAAACAATCATGTGTATCTTTATACATAAGACTACAATATATTATAATATTTATGTGACATTACAATACGTTACATAACATGGTACTTGAGAAATAATTAATATGTTTACTTGGCGCTGTTTTTATTACGTGAAGTTTCCGTTCTATACTTCGGTAGTTGCTGATTACATTCGCCATATCCTGTATCATTATTTCGTCTTGACGAAGTGAATCTTGACTGGTCAGTATTTTCTGAATAATTTGATATTTCTATGAGTTCTTCTTTTGGCATGTTTAGTAATACTAATATGTACCGCAAAAGTTTAACATCTACTTGAGTTTTTTTCAACGATAAGTTGTCCATTGTAGATGATGGTGCTCTTAAAACTTTGAAATAAACTTACTTTACTTGAATAAAGGTATTTGGTTAAATCGTATTTAACGTACCAATATCGATATCAAGATAATTTAAAACTATTAAAAATAATGTTATAACTATTATAATTTATTACCTATAGTAAAGAATACGTCATATTTTATCAACAATATGTTATACATCGTTCAAATCACTTAGATACGTTATATCTTTGTTTTAAAATACATGGATATTACCATTGATTATGAATACTAAGTAATAACAGTATTCATAATCGATGATATTATCTATGTCATATGACATTTATAAATATTATTATGTGTAGGTACCTACTATATACATAATATAGATTAAGTTATACAAATTGATAAAGCGAATAACCAAAGGTCCACAAATATTTTGATACTGTTAAAAATGATGAGCGATCCTTCAATAATGGTACTTGTCCAAATACTAAAACAGTAATAATGTGGTCATTTTTATTTGCACATTTAGTTTTATATTCTAATAAATTTTTTCAGTAAGTATTAAGTATGTCGTGATAGTTTATATTATTTATTTATTTTGACGTTTTTTGCATTATTTTTATGTAATAACTTTTTAATTTACAAACCGCTGTATATACGTATATACGTCATAATATTATTATTTTACTTTTAACGACAACTGTAGCGAAATTGCATATACAAGGCGCCGTCTTAAAATATTATTATATTAAGATAAGATGATAATTTCAGCTCACTTCTTGTGTACCAACTCATACGAAATATAGGACATTTTCGTTCACCAGAACCAATCATGTGTTGCAAGTTGTAATACAAGAGGGAATTTTTATAGCTATAAACATAGAGCTGGGGACATTAGCAGTGTTTTCATAATATTTTGATTCAATATCTATGTAAGTTATGTGTATGAAAATTATTGTAAATAAGCTCATATTTCGCAGAAAAATAAAAATATTAAGTTCAAACAAATATATTGTTCTTCAATTTAAGACTGATGATAGATTAATTAACTTTAATGTCCAAGCTTACAACACATGACTGATTCTTTTAAACGCAAGTTTACTATTTTGCACGTGCCATGTCCGGAGAGAGAAAGCAAATAGTGCGCCGAGATGATCCCTTTAATATTATTTTGTTTATAATATTTTTGAAACAACAACTTGGTTCTCACTTTTCAATATTTCAAAGAAATAGATAAATGTTGACAGAAATCTTCTTTTGAATTTATTTTCAAACACCATTTCATTTTGTGCCTGCGTTGATGGGTTTTCGTGGTTGGCTAGGTTCTTGAACTATGCCAATGATTAGGTGTCCATCAATGTTGTGTGGGTCTTCGTTCAATCCTAACTCGTACATTATGTTGGTATACAAAATTGTATTTTGATTGTTAAAGTAAACACTATTTATAACAACTATAAACAACATAAAGTTATTTAATGCTAAGTACTTTAAATGCTTACGATGAATTATTAATTTACCAAAGAATGTCACAATTTAATGCACTGGATTTTATTGTCGAACTCCGTTGAATAGAGGTTTTACTTCTAGAATGTCGTCCCTAATCGACGATTATTTACCTTTAGTGTCACTCCAGGGCAGTCGGTTAGGTATTCATTTCTCCGTGTCGTTTCTTAGTAAAGTCTTTTATGTGAAAAAATTATATTATACTCTAAGGAATGCAAAAAAAAAAAAATATGTCTCCTTCGAAAGTGAGATTTTACGATGAAAGTTTATCAACGTATTTTTTTGTGTATATTTTGCTAATGGACGCTGAAAAAGTTAAGTTTTGCGATGCGGTTAATCGCTGATATACTCGGTTTGTATATACATACACGCACATAGTATATATAATACAATAACAACAAATCATAAAAAATATAACTACAAAGTTTAAGTCATGTGATGTAACATTAAGTGTTCCCTGAAGGTAAAGTTTATGGGATTAGTTTACAAGTAGGTTGCTGTAAAATAAGTGCAAGGGATACGCGGTTGTGCGGTTTTCCTACATATAAAATTAGATTACGAATCCGTAGAATTGAATTGTCTCCGACAGTTTCAATCGGCGTGACAGCTTCGTGATTGGTTTGGATGTTAGAAAGATAAATCAATTTTTTGGACGCACTTCATTGGCCCGACACGTAGAACCGATGAATTAATGAGATCAACAGAGTAAGGTTTCTGCCAAAACACCCGTTAAACAATTTCATTCTTGTTAACTGTCAAGACAAAATAAATTGACATGTTATCGATATATTATTTACAAACAAACATCACACGTGTATGCACTACGGAAGTTATTTTCAATATTATGCTTGTAAATGTTCAGCTGAACAATTAAAGGTCGAAAAACCGTCATATTTTAATATTTAACACAAAATTATTCCATTTACAAGCTGCGTGTCTTAAGGTTAAGACTATTAGAAGTACTTACATTATTTACATTTTTTTTTTTATATTATTATACGAATTCCTCTATATATCTGATGGTATAATTTTCTTTATCATTTAAAAAAAACCATTCGGTAAAACAAGCGTAAGAAATAAAACTAATAAAATTGTTTGTTTATATTATTTCCCTCCATAATTCGGTTAATTCGAGAGTGTTCATTTAGATAAGTAGTGCATTGCGTAGCCAAAATGTAAATTAAAGTCATCATACTAACATAATTTGGATTAGTTATTTCATTTCTACTCCAAATATTTTACACAGTCACTTTATTCAAAGATATTATATTTAAATGAATATAATGTTTGGTCGAATGAAGTAATTCACTTGACTTATATATTATATAGCTTTGACCTACAATGACACACTTAGACAATTATATTTTCATTAGACTTATTACTTATTTGTTACTAATAACAAAGCATTCCACGTAAAGTTTTGAAACCATAACACTATTGTCTGTTTGATTTCTTTCTTGCAATTAAAAATAGTATTTAACTATATAAGATATTATATGTTACGAAAATAATACGAATCAAAAATGTTCGACTGCCGTCTCATAAGTATTATAGGTATATAAGGTCGTTTTTAATTTTGAAATAAGAGCTACTATTTGTTAAACCATTAATATAATAATTTTGATTGATATATTTTGATGTACTTATATTATAGTATAAAAATCTTTAACTTTTAATCAACTCAAAAATTCATTATAATATCCATGTATCAAGTATTTTTTGAAAGTATTTGCACGTATTTTATGTGAGTAAAAAAACATAATATTGTAACAGAGATAATTAAAATTAACACTTTAGAACGTTAGACGCAAATGTATATACATATTTTATGACGGGTTTTATACTGTAACAGTTTATACTTGAGGGTCCTAATAATATAGTAATAGTAATAATAATAATAATAATAGTTATGACATAATAGGTGTCCTCTTTGTATTGTATAGTACATACATGATACTATATTTTACAAGACTGAAGCAATATTATTTATTAAAACCACTATCTTCCGGGACAATAATGCCTGCGTCTGGTACCGGGGTACGCAGGCCACAGAAATTACATTTAGATAATTGAACACATAAATATTTAGAAACGACACTGAACTTTTGCTCTTATCGTAATAGTCATGTTTTTTTAATAATATTAATAATTTTTTTTACCGTTTACGCACATTGTTTTACAGTCGAAAAGCAGCACGGCAATGTCCTGAACCTGACCAAAGTCAGCCGAGCTGACATGGGATCTTATTTGTGCATCGCATCTAATGGCATTCCTCCGTCGGTCAGCAAAAGAATCGTTCTGGACATTGAATGTAAGAGCATGTTCAGACGACTTTCGTCAATATTTTTTTAACTTTGTAATAGTTGTAATATTATTGAAAACTGTAAATAATTAGTTATTTTATTAATTCAGTCCATCGATGTTTCGTCTTGGTGTGCTCTGTTATAACATATTATCGTTTGGATTATTGCACTGTTGGACATGAGGCCCGTTAAATAATTAATATACATTTAATCAAATAAGTAAATTGTTATCCAAGTATCAAAATTATGATAGGTACAACAAAACTGGTCGGTATAATGCAACACTTGTGATAATAATAATTATTCCGTCGATAAATATCTAGTTCAATTTTGATGTACCGTTTTTAATTTTAAAATGACATCGATGTGGCTCTCGAATAGAACACTGGATTGATTATTAGTTATATTATAATATAATTTAATGAATTACCTAATAAGTAGATACTTTGAATATTATTAAAATATGTTTGTAATCAATAATAACTCAAAAGCTAGTATTAATACCTCCTAATCACCAATCAAAGATACAATTTTGTATTATTTATTTATTTAACAATATACACTTCTGTACATATTTTATACAATATGCAAAATTAATACAAGTAATAGAAGAGCGCATACCAGTAGAAATTAATTTCGGAGAGGAGAAACATGCAAGACTTGATGGGTTTGTAATTTATTAAATATAACGCACACGAGCGCTCGTAAAATATATTATAACGTTCTTGACTGTTCAAAATATTATTCAATACTTTGTGAACAAAACTAATATTATCTTTCCGTTTTATTTTCACATCCAAGGTGAGATTTTGCAATATTATCCTAAAAAAAAACCCACTACAGAATACAGTTTTTCGTTTTTTTTTTTTTTTATAGGCAATAAACTGAATATTTCACGAATATTCCGATTTAAGGTTTCCACGAAACCCATTTTTTTCTTACTTTTTCGTAAGATATCATAATACTGTACGCATATTATACCTAACCTATCTAATATTCAGCAGTTAAATAATTAATAAAATAGAACTTTGAACATTTTCCCCGTGAACGATTTCATTAGTTATTGCGCATTTGAGCGTTTACTTGGTTTTTATTATCAATGATAAAAACGCTACTTGAAAACAATATTAATACGTTAAAGGCTAAACGATTAACGAAGCGTGTCGTGCAAACAAATTAATAATTCGTATAATAATATTATCATTTATTATTGGGT